TAACAAGAGTGCCACTTCTCGGAACAACTTTCAATCACATTAAAATAACGATTACATACTTGAATTGGCCAGATGCTTTGGATAGCTCGCCAACAAGCTGTCATTCCAGTTTCTATTTAACTCTGAGTCTCATGTTGCACTAAGGCACTAAGAGATCAGGCTGCAGTCCAAACCTAATGCCACACACACACGCACGCACGCACGCACGGACACGCACGCACACACACATTGTCACACTGTCACACTGCTGCAGGCTCAGGCCAAACCCAACATCCCTGCAGGGTTGAGAAATTCAACCAGCTAAATCTGTTTGTTGGTACCTTCTCAGGGCAGACCATGGACTTTAATCAAACTAGCTTGTTAAACTGAGAATGTTTCCAATTAATTAGCAGCCTGATAGCTGCTGCAGGCAGACACACTGCTAGCCCTCTCTAATGTGGCTCTGTTCCAAACCAAACGCTTCGTCTTTAGTCACTGCATTGCATTACACAGAAGGCTTAGGGAGTGACGGATTACATTAAACAAGATTTTAAAAAAGGTAACTGTATAATTAAAAAAAAAATTCAAACGAACCACATTAATGTATGTTACATATAAAAAGAAAATAGAGATTACTAGAACATACAAAACATTTTTAGATAAAGATCGATATATTATAGGTAGGCGTACTGAAAGAATGTTCCTTATGGTTTTTATTTATGCTATTTTAATTCATCTTTATTTTAAATACATTTATGTTTTAATGCAGTAGGTGGGGATCTGATTTATTAAACACAATTATAGTTTGCTTTTGATTCAGCTCAAACAGCATTTGTAAACTAATACTGTTACTCCATTTTGATATGAAGAATCTTCGTTTCTTCTTTCCTAAGGTTTCATTGTTACAAACACTTAAGTAAAAAACATCTTATTGTTTTTTATTTTCTCGTTTTTATTTGCATTGCATTTGATATTGAGGTAATCCAAAAGTAACTGGAAGTAAATAGGTTCCATTATTTTAATATTTTGATATTCAGATTAGGTTACTGATTCCATTTCTTTGACATGTAACTAGTTATTGTAACAGATTACACTGCACTACACTGGCTCCCCGTGGAACTGAGGATCAAATTCAAGGTCTCCGTCCTCACCCACAAGTGTGTCCATGGAACTGCCCCTCCCTGCCTCAAAAGAACTCCTCATCCCCCATACCTCCTTGCGGACCACCCGCTCCAGCAACTCCAACCTCCTCAAACCCCCCAGGACTAAGCTCCGTACTATGGGGGACCGGGCCTTCTGCTCGGCTGCTCCCAGACTGTGGAGCGCTCTCCCTGACCACATGAGAGCACCACAGACCGTGGAGGCTTTTAAAAAAGGCCTCAAAACCCATCTTTTCAATAGAGCCTTTGCCTAGACCTTTTTACCACCCTTTTATTTTATTTTATTTCTATTGTTTGGTTTTTATTGCTTTTTATTAATTCTATTGTGTTGTGCAATGTTTATTTATACTGTTCATGCTCACTGCTTGTAGCACTTCGGGATTTGAAATCAAATATGAAGTGCTTTATAAATTAAACCCATTATTATTATTATTATTATTATTATTATTATTATTACATTTTTAAAGTAACCCTCCCAACCCTGACTACACCTTTATTCCCAAGTATAAGGCTGCAACCCAAGTCACTGTATCATGGCTCCATTCCAAACCAAATGTTTTCTCCTCAGTCTGTGTATTAGCCGTCTATTCAAAGCCACATCCTCACACTTTCTCCGCCACTCTTTTGATTATGTGGTCAGTTAATCTCCGGCTCTGTTTGGGACTGCAGCAGGTGCATAAACACACACGCAGTGCGACCAGATAAGCTGCAGTGTGTTTATGTGTGAATAGGAGTGAGATCATGCCGTGTGTGTGGCGTCAGATGAGATCTTGAAGGCCTTAAGGTACCATATGGTCTCCGTGTCTCTCGTAGACCTTCCTGTTCTTCTCTCTCACCTCTCCTCCTTCTGCCTTTCTTCTTCTCCACTGTCTTCTCTTTTTTCACTACGCCCTTTTCATCTCACGTCTCTCCTCCTCTCGACTCCCCACTGTTTCCATCTTTTCCTCGCTTCATCTCTCTTAATCTTTCTGTCACTCACATTTTGCATTCCCACTTTCTTCTTTGCGCTTTCTTTTAAAAGCACTTATTGTCTTTCTTGTGGCGTTATGTCACTTTTAAGCTCTAAGACCTGACAACGTTCAGGGATTTTTGGGTGCCAGTTTCATACCCTTGCAAGCTTGAATATTTCTGGAATATGTGTGAATGAAAAAAAAAACCTCTTTTTAATGAGATCTTGTCTTAATGCCATGCACATCGTCTTGATTATGAAACCATCTTTCCACTATAAACCCCAAGACGAATAGATTTGATTTTAGTGACAACAGAACAACGCGATAATCTGAGATGGAAAATCATGTATTGATCATTTGACACAACATTTTTTACCTGGAGCAACAACATTTTAAAATTGGATTTGAACACCCATAAAGCATCCTGCAAGAGAAATTAAAAATCCCTTTCTGTCTCATGCAGGTTGCCACATTTCATCATAGTTATATGGCCATTAGCTGAAATATGGCCCACACCATGCTGACCCTGAAGAATACTTCTACTTCTTCTATCTTTCTAGTTGATTTGTTTCTTTCACACGGAAATCGTTTTACTTTAGTGCCACTGAGGAAAGCACACCTCTGACTTTGAAACACTTCAAAAGTTTGAAATATATTATCCAAATACTGAATTGAAACACATTCCTGTTCTAAAAGAACTTCCTCAGAGGCATCCTTGATGATTTGAACTCTTGTATTTTCTCTGTTCTTAATGAATCTGACAAAGAACACCAAAGAACACGTCCCGACGGACCCGATTGTTGTGTCGCCTCACGTCTCCTGCGTCTTGGCCAAAAAGTCGCACTGGAACACACCACAAAGACTTCAGCCGACGGCCAAGTAGCACGTAGCATTGCGCATGCGTCAGTGGCAATAACTCTCCTTACCAGCAGGCGGCGGTAGTGTGTATTCTTAATTCAAAAGAGGCAACTGGAAGACAGACTCTGTGATATATATACAAACAACAAATAGCGTGCGTTCCATTTTCCCCTCTCGTCCATCACAGACTGTTTCAAATAACGAATTATAATTGAAAACATGTTTAGTGCGGTACTGGAAAATGAAAAAATTCTGTGTGTTCCTTTTTCACTTCCGTTTCGCTTCTCATGCACTGATTCGCTAAGCTGAACAGCCAATCAGAGTGATTTATTTGGCCGACGGGCTTTTGCAGACAACCTCCCGATTCAACATGTTGACGGCCGAAAAGACACAACGGTGCGGGACACACCAATCTGAGTAGGGCAACAGGACACTCATCGACAGCCAGACATCTATCGACAGCCGAAATCGGCCCGGTGTGTTCGGGCCTTTACAGGCACTCAGTGTGTGTTTATGACAGTGTGTGAAGACCTTGAAGAGTAAAAGCAGAAATAAAAGCTTGGTAAAAACATACACAGACTAACTGAGTGGAAAAGAAGAGTGGAGAAGCGAATCAAAAACACCTGTTATGAAAGACATGGCTGTATTGATTATGCATATTATGTGTCAAAAAGGAAAATTGAATTGGACTAAGTGAGCGAGACTGTTCTTCTGGCCATATGGTTTCACATTCATGCCAAGAATGTAATTGCATGGAAGAGAGAGACAGAAAATAGAGTATTTCAGATTCTTCTTCCTTAAAGGCTTTGGAAATACTGTTAATATAAAATGTATGTTGATAAAACGTTATGAAATGAGAAAGGGAGTCTTAGCCGGAACACATTGTTGTGTTTTATTGAACTGAGTGTCATGCAGAGATCGATGGAAGGCTGAAGAAAAGGTAGAAGAGGTGTTGGGATAAACATGGAGGGAGACCCAGCGGCCCAGAGGGAGGGGTGTATCGACTTGGAGGTACTGTGTGGGTGTGTGGAGGGTCTGACGGATAGTGTTGCCCTGTTATTTACTGTCTCCGGTGTTACACAGCGCTTCTTGGGGGCGTTTTAACCAGACACCTCTAGAACAATAGTACCCCTCCAACAGGAAGACAAACATCCCCATTTTCATGATCTCTTTTTATGTAAAGCCATTTATTCCCTGCAGGGACCGCAGCATGTGTCCTGCCTAGGTTATATTAAAGTACGACAAGAGAGGAGAGGATGCAGAATGGGGCTTTCATGTTTGCCCATTAGCTGAGGGAGTGTCTCAGAGAGCAGCATCCATCCACTCCCAATGTCCAATCCACAACACACACACGCACATAGCTGTCGTATCTGTTGCTATGCCACCCGACTTCCGACTGAATTTTCTTTTGACTGAACATATCCCCGGTATAAGACAGGTGGAGAGAGAGTATATGGGGGAGGAAAGAGGGGAAAAGAGGGGAGCAAAGCGGACATAATATCAGAAACAGAGGGAAAGAAAGGGTAAGAGATGAATATAAGGGAGGGGAGAGAGGACAGGAGAAGGGAAAGGGAAGCAAAGAAGCTGACATGTTTCAGAACAGGAAGGAAATGCAGACAAACAACCTGCAGGTATCTCCCCCTTCACTCTCCACCCACGCTGCTTTGTTTCTACAGACTGCGGGCTGTTAATACATACAGTAATGTGGCATTTCACTGGAGGACTTGGCACAGCAAGCTCAGTGCCCTCACCGTGTGTGTGTGTGTGTGTGTGTGTGTGTGTGTGTGTGTGTGTGTGTGTGTGTGTGTGTGTGTGTGTGTGTGTGTGTGTGTGTGTGTGTGTGTGTGTGTGTGTGTGTGTGTGTGTGTGTGCGTGTGTGTCTGAGCATGCTAACATTAGCAGATGTCAAAACAGACAGTGCTCCTCTTCACATGTGTAGTTAGGACTACAATAGCAGGGAGTAAAATAGAGCAGAGTTGAGTAGGAACAGAGCCCTCTGTTCTCATCTTCTCGACTGTTTTTCATCATTCCTCATCTTTTGTTGTTGACTCACCAGGTCTGGTCAGGTGGTGGGTGGAAGAGCTGGGTGGGGGCAGGCCAATACCCCCGGGAGGGTGGGTGTGGAGGGGCATGACACACAGCTCTGCAGCCTTCCTCTGTCGGAGGGGCGGGGCTATGGGGGCTTCAAGCCGCCATGCCTGCAGCCTCCACTAGGGCGGCGTCTGAGAAAAGCTGCACCAAAACACCTGAGGAGAAAACAAGACGAGTGAGACTGACAGACAGATATATATATATTTAGCTTTTGTTTTCGCACCTACCCTCCTTTGTGTGCACTCCTATGTGCCCTTACAGTATGGGCATTTGCACAAGTATCGCGAACAGACCCCTGGTATTTTATAGGCATTAATAATAGATGTGTGTGTCTTTGGCAGTTTACACAATCAGTTCGCCTTCAACAGACATACCCCCTACTGCTACTGTCTGGCACAGAGACTGACACACACACACAGAGAGAGAAAAAGTGTGAATGACACAGAGACAGAGAGGGGAGGAAGAGAGAGTGAAGTATAAAGGTTGGAAATACAAGGACATATGGAAGGAACACAAACAGAAAGAAAAGGAAGAGAAATAATGAATGGAAAGAGTAAAGAGAAAGACATTGCGTCTGTTTGCGAGTGTGATACTGCCAATCTACCCTTTGGAACGGATGGAGACAGAGAGTACTGCTGGCCCAATTTGAACTGTTCTCTGAATTAGTAAAGGCAACAGTGCAACATCCAACTTAAACTGAATCCTGCGACAAACATTATCTCAAGCATACTGTCTACTGTTCCTGAACATTGTACTGTTTCGGGGATGATGTCGTGCAACTGATCACAATAAATACATCAGCTCTGAAATCTATGAGGCTATTTAAGTGGTCCATCCTTAGCAAATTGGTTAAAAAAATCAAGACATTAAAAAAAGCAAAGACTATTCAGATCAGACTGCAAGTTGAAGGTCCCATGTCATGCTTTTCCGGTTATTACCCGTCCCCTTGTGTGTTATGAAGGTTTTTATGCATGTAAACGGTCTGCAGAGTCACAAACCCTCAAAGTACACCCTGTAAAACTCTAACACAGAAAAGACCTGTCTATGCTGCCCCAGAACGCCTCGTTGGAGATTCCTCTTTTTCCATTGTTTACTTCTTGGGTATAGTGACGTATTTCGGAGATAGTGACGTAACGTAACGGCTCTGCATATTGGTCCATTTGGTCCGCGGAGCCGTTACGTTTGGACCATTCTGTGGAGTTCCTCACACACACACTCGGCGGGACGTTGCGAGGCTCGCTGCTGCAAGGAGCGGGACACTGTGAGCTGGCTCACTGGTGTGGGGTCGGCGAGACACCACGGAACTCAGCCTGGGCACACACACAAACTCCCAGCCGGGCTGCGGGTGTGTGTGTGTTTCGGGCTGGGTTTCGCTGTGTCTCGCTGTCTCGCAGACGGCCACT